GTTTGCTTGATTTTGCTTGTTTTTACTGTAAGGAGATCATAATCTTCTGTGTTGCTGGCCCAGGAAACAAAAGCAGCCTTTCTCCTTAGCTCCGGGAGAGCCACCAGAGAGTGACTTGGGTAGGACCACACCAATCCCCAGGTGCCCTCCCCAGTTCATGGTCTAGTTCAGCAGGACCTGAAGAACATTTCTGACCCCACACATTGCACAGCCTGGCTGTAACTGCCTCCACACGTGTCACATGTGCCAGCGGGGCTCCCACGAGTGTCCTGGGCCACTAAAATAATCCCTGTGACTCCTTCAGAAACAAACACTTCAGGATGCTTTTATCCCAGAGCCTGGTTTAACCATCCTTTCTGCAGGGAGCTGCCTCCTTGTGTCTTTAGGTAAAAAAACCCAACAAACCCAAAAACCCACTACAAAACTTGAGGATGGGGGGAAGGTTACCCAAAAGCACCAACTGGTGCCAGGCTGGGAGCCCGGGGAGGAGTTCAGGAAATGACTGGACGTGGCACTCAGTGCTCTGGTCTGGTTGACAAGGTGGTGACTGGGCAAAGGTTGGACTCGATGACCTCCAAGGTCTTTTCCAACCTCAATGATCCTGTGATTCTGTAAACCCTATAACCCAGCCCAAAGGGATGAGGGGTGGAGATTGTAATGGATATAACTTTAAATTGGTGTAACCCATGCTTTGAGTTGTATGCTATAGGAGACACCTGAAACAAAGGAGAAGAAGCCCTAGAAGAAGTAGCTGCAGTGCAGCAGTGACCTGAGCTGAGCTGGCTTTGGTGCCCAGTAACTCCACACAACACACCACCCCCCTGTCCTGAATGACCACCAGAACAGATGGAGCCCAAAGTCATGGACTAAATGAAGTCAAGAGACATTTTCTGGACTTCTGTGGGCATTTTACAGATATTTCATGGGGGCTGCCCACAGACATGGTATCTGTTATTGCATGAAAGGATTGTAAGGGTGGTGGTTAATGAGGATGTACTGCATGGTGACACAACAGTGTGGACTAAGGAGTGGGGAGTGTGAGGTTTGGCTGGGGTAGAGTTAATCTTCCTCCCAGTAGCTGGTAGAGGGCTGTGGTTTGGATTTGTGCTGGAAGAGCATTGACAGCACAGGGATGTTTTCCTTATGGCTGAGAAGGGCTTACACAGCATCAATGCCCTCCCTGCTCTTCATCCCACCCCACCAGTGACCAGGCTGGGGTGCACAAGGAGCTGGGAGGGGACACAACTAGGACAGCTGACCCCAAACGACCCAAAGGATATTCCAGACCATATGGCATCATGTTCAGCAATAAAACTGGGTGGAGGAGGTTGTTGTGGGGGACCACTGCTCAGGGACTGTTTGGGCATCGGTCGGTTGGTGGTGAGCAATTGTTCACATTTGCATCCCTTGTCCTACTTGGGTTTTATTTCTTCGTTATTTTCCTTTTCATTACAATTATTCATCATCATCATTATTATTATAGTTCAAATATTTAACTGTTTTTATCTCAAGCCATGAGCTTTGTCACTTTATGCCCTTCCAATCCCCTCCTCCACCCCACCAGGGGACAGTGAGTGGGTGGCTCTGTGGGGCTGAGCTGCCAGCTGGGGTTAAACCACAACACCCCCCAGCATCTCAACCTGTCATTTCTTTGCTTATTTTTAAATGCAGTTCTTAAAAGGACATTCTAAGGGTTAAAATTCCTAATTAAAAAATTACTGAGAACTGGTTAATGAGTGTTATTCTGCATAAACCCCTGAAGGTGCCCAAACTGGAAGAGAGAGGGGGCAAACAAACCCATGAGCATCAGTGGTGAAACTGCAAAGTCAGGACTGTGCACACAGACATTCCTGGAGCAAAGCTGGCAAAGGCAGCCTAACATCTGACTAATGATTTGTGTGAACATTTTGGTGAAAGCTCAATGCAAATTCCTGAAATCTAAGAAACTTATATTTCCTACCAGCCCTCCTAATGCCCAGCACACACTGAGGAGGAACCGAACAATGCCAGGCAGTGTGCAAACATTTGCCCGCGGATGACTGATGATTTTCAACAATAATTTCATAAATGCAGCAGGCTTGAGTATATCCCATGGTTATTCTTCCACTGCAATCCCTGGGAGTTCCCACTGACACCAGTGTGGGGCTGCCCAGGGCCACCAAGGGAGACGGGCTCGGAGCGGGACAGCCTTCCTGGGGCAGAGGCAAAGGCTGGGACTGTCAACAGCTCTTGAGCCAGCAAGAAATATGGCACGGAAAATAAGCTGCAAATGAAACTACCCTGAAGGTTTCTGCCAGGCCTGAGGATGGACAGAGGGGCAGAGGCTGCTCCTGGCAATGCCACCACACCCGGCGCTACCTGTGCCGGGCAGGTGACACCGACGTGGCACAGGCCACTGGGAACAGCCTCCAAAGCTGGAAACGCTGTTTGCATGAGAGAGAGAGATGTTGAAATATTGATTAAAGTTGGATTTCATCAGCCATACTTTGATTTTATGATGATACTGGCTGCTAACAAAGACACACCCATTAATGCATGACATTCTTGCTTGTAAAACAGGGATTATTCTGCTGTTCCTGCCAGTGTGATCCGCTTGTATCCACAGCCCGTGGCTCCAGTGCAGGCACTCAGCAGGAAAAAAGAAGGCATTATGATTCAAAAAATGAGGGGAAAACACAGAAACAGGCACATGCTGGAACAATGTGGAGACTGGGTCCGAGCAGGGAAGGGGTGGGCAAGGGGGAAGACTGAGCACTTCACCTTAGTTTAAATCCAAAGTAAAACACCAAACCCAAAGGGTTACCGAAGATTTTATCAATTTAAACTAAATGTTGGAGGGGGAAAAAAAGCACTCTAAAAGAGTTACCTAGCAGGTGCCAGTTTTCCTGCTGCCTGGATTTATTCAAGGAATAATCATACATACAGGGAGAGTCTTTCTCATCTTAATACACTAGTTCGCTTCCAGTGCCAGGGATAAGGGTGGAAAAGGGATGGGAAAAATGCCATTAAAGCCTGTGTCTTCCAGCTTTGTTGTTCTAAAACTCGTGCTTGGGCAGAATGAAGCAGCTATCTGAGGCAATATGGTGTTTACATATGCCCAGATTGTTATGCAAACACAGGAAGACCTATTGGAGCAGAGAGAACAGGCACTGGGGGCAGTGCTTCTCACCACCCCTTGCAGAAAAATGTTTTCCAATGTGGAAAGGGTGAGAGAGGTCACCCCCAAGGAATCCAGCCCAGGATCCTCCCAGCCTTCGCCTCTCCCATCCTCCTCCTTCCTCCTCCTCCTCCTCTCAAATTCCCCAGGCAGCCAGCACAAGCTTCCCAAGTTAAAGAGACAGGCCCATCATCCAGCAACATGTCTGGGGTGCACTTGCATGAGGAACATAAAAAAGGGGGGAGGAATCCTTCCTGGGTGAAATGGGACTCCCTGCCTGCCCTGCACAGTCACATCCCTGCTCTCGTGCAGAAAACTAAACCACAGGAATTAAGAGGAGACTCCAAAGGCACACAGGGGTACTCAGCATCATTCAAGTGCACTTAATTTTAAATTAAATCCATCTTGCATCAACATTAAAGATCTAAAATGAAAGAGTCAGTCATGAACTCTGCAGTCACGCCTTTAGTTCCATCTGTAGTCGGTACGAGAAGAATGGGAGACAAATGCCTCTGACAAGTCAACTTTAACCTCCAGAAGAAGCCACAGGTTTTCATCAACCTATATCGACCAAGCTTTCAAAAAGTTATTGCTGATGGAGAACCAAATAAATCCCTGAAATATACTGTCAGTGCCTGAAAGATGCCTCTGCCAGCCTAAGCTCAGGAGCTTCTGCTGCCAGATCCTCACTCTACAGGATAAAATCTCAAACAGGTACGTGACCAAGTCAGCTCTTGACTTGCTCTTTACTAAACTACACGAGCCAAATTTCAATAACTTCTGACTATAAGTCAAATTCCTACCAAGAGTTTTGAGCCTTCTAGCACGGCAAAAATGAACCACAGACAGCAGAACCAGACATGCTGCTTCCAGCAGTGAACTGCCACCATGTCTCCCTGTGGACTTCATCCCTCCATCAGTCACCCTCTGCACACAGAGACATTTTCTGCCATCCCCCACAGCATCGTGCCCTGGTCGCTGTCATCAACCCCCAGCTCTTCACCCGGCAGAGGGAACCTGCCTGAGATCATAACCTGCCTTGGGCTCTATGGAAAGGGATACCAGTTTAGCTTGACCAGCCTGCCTGTAGCTTGAGGAGTCCCCAGGAAGGATTTCATGCCTGGCAGACTCTGAATGCTTGGTTAGGAACACATTCCTGCAGGACAGCACCAGGAACGCCCCTGCGGCTCCGCTCCCCGCTGGGACCGGCTTGGGAGAGCCGGTAGCAAGTTTTTGTAAACCTCATTAACACACACCACTCTCATTTCAGGCAATTTCCAATCAGAATATTGTGCAATGCTGGAGTCAAATGGCTCAAGGAAATTTAACTGCACCAACAAGCAGCAAGCACAGAGAGTCAAACCCGCACATCAGCAGAAGCCTAAAGAGGTGGGATTTTTGGCTTTAAAAGAAGCTGTCCTGGGGGGGGGAACACACTGCACACCAATTAGTAACAGTTAATAGCTGCACACCACCAATTACTAACTGTCCTTATATATAAATATATATTTGTGTGTGTATATATATATATAGAAAACCTATACCTGTTTAATCAGGTGTCTTGGTATAGAAGGTGTTTTAACAAAAGGTTGTGCAGATGGTAGGGAAAACATTCAGCTGTTTGACTAAAAATCAATTTCTCTCTCAAAGAGGGAGTGCTTTCACAGACCCCCTTAGTTCAACTGTTAAACTTCCAGGAGTTGCCACGGGGTACAAAATGCTTGGATTTGGTGGCAAAAATTTATGAATAAGAAAAAAACCGGTGAAAGAAAAAATAAGTGCTAAACAGCCTTAGTTTTTGCTGTACACATCCAAACTGATTTGTGCTCAAGCCAATCCCTACCACAGGAGGTTGATTTCTTGTCCACCATCTTCACGTGCCGGGTCTGGTTGCGGAGCCTGTCGTCCGTGTTTTCCACCAGGTTAGTGAGGTCGTCGATGATCTCTGGGGAAAGAGAAACATGAGCATTAATCTCTGAGCCCCCACAGCATCACTGCTTAACCAGCTCCTGCTGGAGGCTCCAAAATGGAAACCAGCTGCATCCTTCTGTCCTCCAGCAGGACAGAGCAGTGCCCACGTGCACTGAAAGGTCCAAATGCTGGGAAATACTCCACACAAGAGACTTCAGACTCAGTGCGTTCCCCCACTGGAAGAGTGGAGTTAAAAATACAGCCTGAAGCAGCAGTATCAGTTTAGACAGTCATGGAGTATAAGATGATGGCAGCACATCACAGCTGTATCAAATGATCACAAAGCACCAGCCAAATAAGGGAATTAGTGCACATGGAATCACAGAATCATCAAGGTTGGAAGAGACCTCCAAGATCATCCAGTCTGAGCATCAACCCAGCACCACCATAATCACCCCTAACCCATACCCCCAAGGGCCACATCCAGAGGACTCTTGAACACTTCCAGAGACGGTGACTCCACCACCGCCCTGGGCAACTTATTCCAGTGCCTGACAACCCCTTCTGTGCATTTTTTTTCTGATATCTACTCTGAAACTCCTGTGGCACAATGTAAGGCCATTTCCTCTCATCCTTTCACTTGAGACATGGCAGAAGAGACAAATCCATCCCTCACTACACTCTCCTTTCAGGTGTAGAGGGCAATGAGGTCCTCCTTGAGCCTCCTCTTCTCCAGACTGAACGACCCAAGTTCCCTCAGCTGCTCCTCACAGGACTTGTCAAACGGAGCCTCTCAACACTGGGCCAGGACACCATCATTAAACCCCATCCAGAATCACCACCCTCACAAAGGTTTCTGAGAGCACTCACTGTGGTCCCCACCATGCAGCCACAGAGGGCACAGTCAAAGCCCTGCCCTGGTTCTGTTCTGGAGCTGTAGGGATGGCAGCTCTCCTTGCAGCCCAGATGGTCTGCTGGGGAAAGGGAAGTGGGCAAAGTTTCTCCTCCTTTCTAATTTTAAGACAGGGGAAGGAAAAACTTCAAGCCAACCCACCCTCCACCTCCTGTAAGCGATGTAATTTAGTCACGGAAATGGGAGCAGGTACAAGGATTACACCAAGAGCAGTTGGTGGGTCGGGATTTTTTAACACTGGAAATTAAAAGCCACATTCAGGCACAGAATTTCCTTCTCACTGACTGTCATGCTCTAATTTCCTTGAGACACACAGCCAGTGCTTCGTGCCGGGTGTGTGAACACATCATGTCTGAGCTGCTCCACAGGCAGGAATGGCTTGCTTTGTGCATGAGAAATCAGGAGGAGGACAGCAGCCAAACCCTGAGTGATACTGCAAAGCATCTTGCTCTGGTAACACTTCTAGCACTTTCCCACTATTGATCACTGTCTCACTAAGTCCAGCCTGTCTTTGAGCCCAGGTTGGGGACAGTGGCCGTGCCAGCTGGTGGGTGCTGTGCCCTCAGCTCCTCTGTACCCCAGCAGGTCCTGGCACTGCATCTCTGCTCTGATGAAATGGCCCATAGGCAACAAAAGCAGAAGTTAGAGCACACAGCATCCAGTCAGCAAGATATACTGATATTCTGCTCATATTTATGGACCATAACCCCATGTGGATGCTGGTTGAGGGTTAAAGAACACTTAAAGAACACAAGTCCCATCAAATAGGACAAGGCCCTTATTAACCAGCCTTTACTGTTTTGACTATATTCCTTCAAACAAGAGATTCCCCAAAATATCTCTACCAAAAAGGGGATGACATTGAAGAGGGCATTTATTGTACTTTCAAAACTTCCCTGTGACACTAGAAGGAAACCTTGTCCTTACAAGGGTAGTGCCAGCATGTGATATTAGTTCCTGCAGCTTCTCAAGCACACCAGCACCCCTCTGCCTCCATCCCTCTGACATCAGCACTTGAACAGGAATGGCTTCCTCCAACATTCACCTTCCCACAGCAGCAGATCACAGAAACTCCTGAATTAGAAGGACCCACAAGGACCATCCAGTCCAACTCCTGGCCCTGCACAGACACCCCAACAATCCCACACTGTCCCTGAGAGCGTTGTCCAAACCCTCCTGGAGCTCTGGCAGCCTTGGGGCTGTGCCCACTGCCCTGGGGAGCCTGGGCAGTGCCCAACCAGCCTCTGGGGGAAGAACCTTTGGCTGAGATCCAACCTGAGCCTGCCCTGACACAGCTCCAGCCATTCCCTGGGTCCTACAAGTTAGTTTTGGAGGGTGTTTATGTCCTGAGCTTTACCAAGGAACAAGTTCTCTATCCAGATACAGATAAAACCAGTCTGATTGTACATACAGATAACAAAAGACACATAAAAATAACCAAAGCTCTGCAGACACAAAGGAAATATCAAAGGCACATGTAGCACGGAGGTTTTACTCTCCCAGAGAGCTGAGAGATTTAAGCATCATCCTTCCAATGCACGTTTCAGTCTGCTCCACAAACACTGTCATCTTCAGTGAATCCCTATGTAAAATGATAGCAGCATCTGAAAAATCCTGTACTTTCAAAGTATACAGCTTTCTTAAAACATGAGCTCCTGATTCATGTGCTTCATGTCCCACAGCCTAAACCACCCCCATAATCACACGGAGGGAGGGCAGAGGGCAAACATCAACAGTTTCCCTGCATGTGCAGCAGCAGTGTTATCCTCTGGATCTGGCCCATCCACCACTCCTGTGGTTAAGCAGCACCACCCCACTACTGCTCTATTCCAGACACAAACTCTCCTTATTTACGAAGTTGTTAATAATACTCGAGATTTTATTGTTCATCCTACACCAAAACACATTTTCCCAAGTGATGACAGGGATTTTGCATGAGCTGCAAGGTTTGTTCAGTTTGTAGTTCAGATGTTCGCTCTCCTCCCCCTCCCACCCAATTCTCCCAGGTCCAACATCTGCAAAGCCAACAATATTTTGGGGACACTTTATCTGTCCTGTGTGATTCAGCACTCAGGAAGAGCAGGACAATGCTGCCTGCAAGGGCAGCCTTGCTCATGTTTGCCTCTAAACGAAAAAAGTGCCGAAAGTTCCCATCGTTGTCAAGGACAAAGTGATAAGCATGCTTGGGAAATAAGAGACTTTCCTCTGCCAACACTGACCAGACCCTCCTTGAAAAACATCCTGGTGAACAAGCTGGAGCTAAATGAGAACAAATGTGAGCAGGGAAATTTTCTGTCATCATTTCAAAGCCCAAGGCACTGCAATTGGGATTATGTCTAGAGCCTCTCCTTTCCCATCCCCCTGTCAGGAGCCAATTCTGAGCCAAAGAACTGGGTTGGAGAGCTTGGAAGAGGCATTTGTCTCTCTCTGTATGTTTCTTGACATGACCAGGTTCCAGGGGAGCAGAGCACTTCACCCAGCACGTAGCCCAAAGCTCAACAAGCAACCAGCCCTTTGATGTGACGTGCAGTTGGGGTGCTCATGGCACAACTAGAGGATCCTCCCCTCTGCAGCTGTGCTGGGGCTGAAGCGGGGAGGAAGCACAGGGAGGTTCTCACCCCATCACCAATTGAACCAGAAGTCCAGCCCAGCAGGTTCCACAGGCTGGAGGGCCTTTGCAACCACCACCACCCTGCAGAGAAACATCCACCCACCCTCTGTGCCCACCAACACCCTGGAGAAACATCCATCCATCATCTACTCCCACCAACACCCTGCACAACAACATCCACCCACCCTCTACGCCCTCCAACACCATCAAGACCTGCACAGAACGATCCACCCCCTACCCTCACCAACTCTTTGTGGTGACACTCGGGTTTAGAGCAACTCTCGACCTCTTGTAAATGAGAACATTTCTCCCCACTCCAAAGCAAAGGAAACCCAAGGGAAATACAGGCTGTATAAGGCTGAGTTGAAGATCAGTAATGAATTTCTAAGGTAGGCAGAGCTGCTGCCAGAGAAAATTAAGTCCATGGTTAAGGAAGTCTTCAGAGCACTGACAACCCCTTTGGCACTCCACAGGCTCCCACCTTTCCTGACAGATGACCCACCTGCAAACCCCTCTGCCCTTCAAGCTGGCAATTCCACCTTCTATCACCTCCTATTTAGCTCACTATGAAAGGGGCAAGTTGAAAAAAAAATGGAGAGAGACGTGAAAAGAGGGAAGGAGCGAGGTTGCCCCGTCGGGAGGGAGCAGACGGGAGAGGCAGGCTGGCTGCCGAAGGGCTGCCGGCGACCTTCCAAAGGACGTTCCTGTAACACTGCACTGCAAACCACAGCTCAGCTGGCAACACAAATTTAGCCAAGGTCTTCTTTCAGGGAAGCAGGAACTTGAAGCAGAAGATAAAACCCACTGCACAACCCCAGAATTAAAATCTGAGTCATTTCAGCACAGCTGAAGTGGGAGAAGTTTGAAGGTCGCTCGCTGCTGGAGGTGAGCGCAGCCAGGAGGGACTTCTGCTCAAAAACCAGTGGCACAGCCTTCCCCGTCCCTGCACACGTGTCCCTGTGCCAGGTGACAGCCATCAGCCAGGACTGTTGGCTTTGGAGCTGCCCAGCAGCCAAGGCAGCCAAAAAATCCATGCAGGGAAGCGCCAGGTCTCTGTGGGAAGGCAGAGACAGGGGGGTGGGCACTACCAGGTCTCCTCTCCTCACTCCTGCAAGGCCACAGCAGGGAAACACAGCCTGTCTCTACAACTCTGGATGCTTCTCCTGGTGATCAAAGTTATAAAATCTGGGCTGGAGCCCTCAAAACGGTAGAATTTCTTCAGAAAGCTGGGATGTATCACCAAAAATAGCAGTGGGATCTGAGGTCAACACATGCACACCTGAAACCAGAACAAAAGTCGTGGAAGGTCTTCATTTTGTGGACACAAACCTGTCTGCAGTGCTGCCCTTGCTCCTGCAGCTCTGGGACCAGCAATGGAGAGGGCATGGGCAGCCCTTTGGGAAACTGGGATGAATTCCACACATGGGCTTTACAAAGAAAACCCACGATGAGGGAACAGCGAAGCCAGGAGATGACAGGGAAAAATGCAGATTGATATATTCTGAAATAT